GGCGCGGGCTGAGCACGCCCCTGGGGAGGGGAGAGCGGGCGGGGTCCCGGGAGCCGGATCCAGCCCGCCGTGTGCTCTCCGGGTCGAGGCCCGCGGGGGGCGGGGGTCGCAGGGAGGGGGTTCCCGGAGGGCGGAGGACCCCGCGGGGGTCGCGGGCCCTTACCAGGGCATGCAGTTGTCGGCGGCTCGCAGGCGAAAGGGGGAGCGGAAGGGGTTGGGCCGCGGGGGGCTGGTGCCCCCTCCCGTGGCCACCGCCATGGTCTGGTCGTCCATCACACAGCCGTACTCGCTGCTCTCGGTGAAGAAGGCCGGGACTCGGAGGGACTGCGGTGGGCGCGGGCCTCTGACTCTGGGAGCGGCGCCTCCGCCCAGCCCCTCCCCAGGCGCCAAGGGCGCAGACGGGGGTGGAAACCCGGGACCCAGACAGACAGGGAGGGAGGCACGAGGCAGGCAGGCAGACAGACAGACAGACAGGGTCGGGAGGGCCCTGGGCGCGCCCCGGGTCTGGAGCAGAGGGTGGGAAGAAGCGGCTATCGGAGAAGGGGGGTGGGGGGAGGCAGGAGGGGAGAGCAGGTCCCTTTTGGCCCATCCCCCACCTGTAGCCGGGGCAGCGAGCTCAGCCAAGTGTCCTTGAGACCGAAGCCGGAGTTAAATCCTGCAGACCGAGGGAGAGCGGAGAGCGGGCAGAAGCTGTCGCCCTCGGCCTTCTCCCAGGTCCCCACACTCCTACCCCAGGCTCTTACCGATAACCAGGTCGGGTTTGGGCCCCTGGAGCAGGTGGTAGGGCCGTGCAGACACCTTGATCTGCAGGTCCCTGCGGCCCCCCTTCTCCTTAGTGCCGGAGCTGAGCCGCGCGGATACCCCGGAACCAGGACGGACAGACACCTCTGGGCCATCCTGGGGAGCCAGGAGCACAGTGGAGAAACCGCTGGAAGTTAGGGCACTGGGAGGCGCTGGGCTAGGGGAGAGCAGGAGGAAGGAGGAACCCCCCCCACCCCATCCCTCACCCTCTGCAGGGTAAAATGCTGCTGGTCACTGTCAGGGGGCAGGCCGTCACCCACAAACTGCAGCTCCAGGGCTACGTGGGGGAGCAAGACCAGGAGCTCCTGAAGGACAGAGAGGACAGATCAGGGCCCCACCCCACGGCCAACTCCACACCCAAATGCCCAACCTCGGGTCCTGGAGGGACTCACCCAAAACACCATGACCAGGTCGAACTCCTTCCCGGCTTCCACCACGTGAATTTTCAGTGATTGCTTGTTCTGGATGTTGAGCTCAGGGACTGGGGGAGAAGTTAGCCGCTTAAGAAGATGGCCTGCCTTCCTCTTCTCCCCCTCCAGCTCCCTGCCCCCTCGGTCCCGCCGCTCTGCTCTCCTTACAGGACTGGGGCACCAGGTGGGTGATGATGTAATACACGGTCAACGGGTAGGTGAGAAGCACGGCCATGGGGGAGTCCAAGCTGAGGCCCCTCCACGTGTAGTAATCCTGCCACGAGCCTGGGGGGAGCGGGTTACTGGGGGATCTGGCCCCGGCCTGGACCCCAGCAGCCCCTTCCAGTCTAAGAGCCCCCTTTTTCTCAGCCGTTCAGACTGCTGGCCCTCCAGTCCCTGTCCCTACCTCTAGCCCCCTCGGGGCCCCTCCAGCTCACCAAAGATGCCCCTGGGTGGATCTGGGGGCACAGGAGGCATCAGGGCGGGCCCATCCCCCTGGAGAAGCTGGTAGGGATCTCCTGAAAGGATGGAACGAAGAAGAGGATGCTGGGGTCAGGGAGACCCCCCACCGGCACATCCCCTTCTTCCTTCCAAAGGAGCTGTATTCCCTGGAGCTGCAGCAAGAGGAATGGGAGATTGCCTGCAGATGGGGCCTCCCAGTGGGGTGGGCAGTGGTGACTACTTTGAGGATTGGGGAAAGGCCTGAAATGGCCACGGTGGTGGTAATGGAGTTGGGTGTGTACGTGGAGGGGTTGTCTGGGGCCCGGACAACCGTTTTCTCCCCCATCCTTCCCTCTTCGCTGAGGGGCCCATGCCTGAAGAGAGACCCCACGAACCACCAAGAAGAAGGCTCAGGGCTGGCGTGCTGCCCCGGGGGTGCCTGGGGGTGCCAGGGCCTGGAATCAGCATGCTGAGGTGGGTCCAGTAGCCGCGAGTGAGGCCCCGTGAGGCCAGAAAGGCCTCCTTGTTGAAGGTTTCGCTGGTCACCTCTGGAGAGGGAGGGGGGTGGTGAGGGCCTGGTGGCTAGGACCCCAGACTATAGCTCTTCTCAGTTTCTCTCAAGGCCCCTGGGTCTGAATCTGGTTCTAGGCCTGGAGAGAACGAACATTCCCGGGTGTCTGCAGTACAGCAGGTACCACCGAACCCACAGGATCCTTGTAACAGTTCCCTGGCTTTTAGCATTGGTTAATATACTCATTTTACAGATGAGGAAACTGAGGGTCTAAAAATTCAAGTGATTAGTTCACGGTCCCCAGTTACTGGCAGAGCTGGGCAGCAAGTGCCTGCACCCCTGTTCCCGAATCCCCTGAGCTCTCTCGGGGGCGCAGGCTCCTCACACTCCTCAGCTCCAGACCCTGTCTTCAGCCCCAGGGCTCTGACCCCCAGCCCTAAATCCCCAGCATCCGGGCCTCACTCCTGCGGTCCGGCCCCGAGCACCTCTCCTGCAGGCCCGGAACCCTGTACCCAGGCGCCCAGCCCCATCGCCTTGTGGTACCTGCGGTGTAGCTGAAAGGCAGACTTGCCAGCTCCCCGGCCCGCTCCATGAAGCCTGCAAGCCTCGGGCACCAAAATCGGTGGCTCACATCATCTGGGCATCGGCGCCAGTCGGCCCTGAGACAAGCCTCTCCACAGTACAAGACGGCACTGCACTGGGGGCTGGGGTCACAGGGGGTGGTGGGCACCCAGCGTTCATCTCTGTAGGTCCTTGGCCTGCTCTTTGTCCTACAGCTGCCCATGTATCATCCGGTCTGCTTTTCTGTGCACTCTGCTCCTAACAGCTTGCTTTTGATCCCCCATCGACTTCCCGGACCCTCACTCTGTCTGCCGCGCCCCAACCCCCACCAGCCAGATTTCTCTGCTTGCCCGAGTGTTGGGGGACTCCCTCCCTCTCACTCCATCTTTCGGGCTGCTCACCAAGGTGTCAGCTTCACCTCGAAGCTGTGCCTATGGCAGACATGGCAGGTTCGAGCCCGGAGGGAGGCAAATGTGAAGCCTGGCCGGGGACCCCATGTCCGCATCGGCGTCTTGGCTAACTTCACTCCCAGCCTCGGGACCAGACTCTCCAAGTCTCTGAATGGGGGTGGAGACTGTCAGGCTGGGGGGCTCAGGAGTCCAGATCCCTAGGCCTCCCCAACCTCAGATACCAGGTTTATGTACCGATGCAGCTGGGCATCTCCCACAGTGAGCTGTCGGGGCTTCCGAGGGTCTCCGGAGCCCATGGGGCAGGCCATGCTGTGGCACAGGAGAGCATAGGCCCGAGGAACCAGGTTCTCGGTCCCTGAGCCCTTGCCTGCACTCCCCTGGGTTCCATCCATTAGCAGGTCAATGCCCAGGATGGTGCCATGTTCATCGGTCACCAGTAGGAGGCAGGAAAGGTGCAGGGGGGCAGCCTCTGGGAAAGAAGGGACAAGTCAAGGGCGGGGAGCCCCAGAGATGGTCAGGGTCGGGAGTATGAACATCAGGCCTACAGGGGCTAGGCGGGTCAACTAAGTGAACGGAGCGGAGCGGGTAGAGAGGGAATGCCTCATCGGAAGGGGACACCTGCTGCACAGTGCCGGGGCGTGTATGGCCATGCAGAAGTGTGCACCTGCTGTTGGAACTTTCTGGAATTTTTTCTTTCAATGTATACATGTTGGCTCAAAGAAAACCAACAAAACAAAAAACATTGTGGGTCAATGAAAACATCTTTCCCGGCCAGACTGGCCTTCAGGCCAGCATTGGTGACTCCTGGCCGGGCTGCCTGGGAGAGGGGGTCTTCCAAAGGGCAGAAGGCCCAGCCCAGGGTTCTTACCACTTCTCCACCCCTTCCTCCTCTCAGGGCCCGCTTCGTCGTCCGCCTTGTCCGCCCGGCGATCATCCTCGCCGCCTCCTGCCTCCTGCTCAGCCTCCTCCGTCTGCCCTGCAGGCTTCGCTTCCTGGCGGGGCTCCCTGCTGCGGGCGGCCGGCTCCCCACCCTCCTCCGGATCTGCCTTCACCACGCCTGCGCTCTCCTTGTCCCCCTTCTCTTCCTCCTCCTCTGCTTCCTCCCCTTCCTCCAGGCTGACAAAGCTGACATAGGGGCTTAGGTCTCGCAGCTGGAGTGGGGGCTCATCTCCCAGGAACCCGGCAACCCCCAGGCCTGGTCCAGGGCCTGGCTCCGCCCCTTGCCCCAGGCTGATGCCCACACTATGGTTGGGCAAGACGTGGAGCACCCAAAGGGCAGGGTCCTGGGGCAGCCTTCTGATCTGAGCCTCCAGCTGGCGCCAGTGACCCTCAAGGCTGGCCCCCCCAGCCCCACGTTTTGCCGTGAACTTTCGGAACCAGCCAAACAGGAGGGCAGCGAAATCAAGGAACTCATCTCGGTATCCAGACACAAACTCCATGTCTTCAGGGCCGCAGGTTCTGGGCCCAGACTGAGCAGAGGAAGGGATGTATGGTGAGGGAGAGGGTAGGGATGGGTTTGGGGCTGGGTCCCCAAATGGGGGGTGTGTGGGTTTGAGGGTCACTTACAGTGGGACCTCTGGGTGAGTGTTAGCAGCTAAGACAAGTTTTCAGGGCTAAGGGTGGGAGTTCAGGGTGAGAACCGGGGCTGGCCTTGGAAGCGGGCAAGCAGGGTTTAAGATGAGTAGTCAGGAGTGAGATGGTACCTGGGCCTCAAAATCTGAGGCTCAACCCCTCAAAAGTAGGGTTTGATTTGTGACTAGATTTGGAGGGCTAATCCTATGGGGAAGGGCTTGGTGAGGAGGAATTATTTTGGATCCGTCTGTAGGGGGTGGGAGGAGGGACCCGGAGCCGGGGCATCCCCTCGGCATGGATCGGTTAGGCGGGGAGCCCCCGCGGACCCAGCCCCTCCCGGCCGCTCCACCACTCCGGTACCTGCAGCCGCCACCACTTTTCGAAGGTAAATACCTCGGGGCTGGGGGAGCGGGCGTGACGTCAGGGCGGCCGGAGCCCGCGGCCCGCGGCCCGGGTGGCCCCGCCCCATGCGTCCGAGGCTCGCGCGGAGGGGGCCGTGCCGGCTCTGTGGCCCCTAGCGGACTTCCCCGGGGACATCACCGGGCATGTGACCGAGTCGCCGGCGCCCGGCGGGGAAGCGAAAGCGCCGAGGGGGTGGAAGGAGCCGTGCGGCCGTGCCTGCGAGTCCTCGGGCCCTGCGGCCTGACCTGGGGCGGCCGGATGGGCGTCCAGGAGCCGGGCTGAGTTAGTCGGTGCGCCGCCCGCGCCGTGCGCCCCGCCTAGCAGTCGCGCGCGCTCGCGTTTCGCTTTGCGGGGACCTTCCCTGTCGTCTCCTGTCGGCGCGGGCCCGGGGCCGACTGGGGGCGCGGGGGTGCGGGGGCGCGGGGGCGCAGAGCCCCGCCTCCGGGGCTTTCCCCGCGGCGGCGGGCGGCGGACGCGCGCGGGCCCGCAGTACCGACCGCGCTGTCGGTTCGGACGGTGCGAGCGCGGGAGGAGGGCGCCGCCAGCTCGTGCTGCATCCCCCCACCCCACCCCACAACCCCGGCCGGGACTCGCCGCCGACGGCCGCGGCTGCCCGGCATTCCCGCGGGCCCGGGACGAAGCCGCTGGACGCCGCGCTCCGGTCCCGCCCGGCTCCCGAGATGAGCCCGCGCTGGGGCGCCGGGTTCCTCGCGCTCCTCTTCCTGCTGGCGCAGCTGCCTCCGCCAGGTTCGTCCGGGGCCGGGCTGGCCCCCAGGTCCCCGAGTCCGCGGACGGGATGGGGGCGGCGCGGGGGACGGGGGCGCCGAGGGCCGCGGGGTTGTGTTGAGTGGCAAACCGGGGTCCCCATGCAGCCGGGGCGGGAGACAGGCTGGGGGACACCCGGGTTCGGGCCGTGTTCAGGACGTGTTTGGGGGTGTGATGTGTGGGTTGGGCCCGGGGGTCAGATCCGGGATCGAGGGAAGAGGCGCAGTACCAGCGCGGGGAGCCCTTTAGGCGGGGAACCTCCGCTGACCACCTGTGTCTTCTCCCCGCCCCCCCGCCCCAGGCGATGGCAACGAGGGTAGCGCCATCGGGAGTTGTTACTGCCACAAAGCGATTCCTTCCGGCCCCCCTCCGATGGCGGAGTTCATGGCACATCTCCGAAAACACCTGAGAGCCTACGATCGCTGTAATTCCTACGTCAGGTAGTCTCACCGAGCACTGGGAGCGCAACGCCTCTGGGGGCCTCCAGGACCCTCGCTGCTCCACCTGGAACCCCCGGGGGGGGGAGGGGGAACCTAACCCCCTCCCAGGATTCCGTTCGCCCCGTGTGTCTCCATATCTTGCTTTCCCTTTCCCACCTACCTGGGAATTTCCCAGTCTGGGCAGACCGGGCTCATTGGCTCTTGGCAGTGACTTCACATCTTTGGAACGAGGAAAGAGCTGAGACCACTTTCTTCCTTCCTAGGTTCCAGCTACACTCCCGGAGTGTGTGTGGGGGCAGCAAAGATTCGTGGGTTCAACAGTTGATGAGCTGCTTTGATCGCAAAGGTACCGCTTTCCCCCTCCTCCCCGGGGGTCTGCCCCTTACAATCTTCCTTGCCTCTGTCCCGTCCCCATGACACCTCGCGTTCCTATTGTACCTGGTGTCAGCCAAAGTCCCTTAGACCCCAGTTCACCCAATGTTGCTCACCATCGCTGTTCTGATTTTTGCCAGTTCCTCCTGTGCTCTTATTTACTTAATATTTTTCTTGAAAACAAGGCACTACTTTTGTTTTCCAGTATTTTACTATGGAAATGTAAAGACTTACACAAAAGTTGAAAGAACTGTTCAGGGAACGTCTATAGGCCCACCACCTAGATTCTACGTTATTTGGCTTTTGTATATTTGTATTTCACATCTTTTCTGTGGTAGGTACAAAATACAGCAAATGTAATTTATATTTTACAATATCAAGTTTTACAGCATGTTAACTATATTGGTTTTAGGGCATGCCCATCTGTCTGTCCTATCCGTCATCAATGCACCTTATTGTTTTTAAAAGATTTTGAGAGAGAGAGAGTGCATGGGGGGGGGGTGCAGAGGGAGCAGACTCCCAGCTGAGCAGGGAGCCCGAAAGGGGGCTCTATCTCAGGACCCTGAGATCAGGACCTGAGCTGAAGGCAGAAGCTTCCCCGACAGAGCCACCCAGGTGCCCCCACCTTATTTTTTTGATGCATTTCCAAGTTAGCTGCAGGCATGACCACACTTCATCCCCAAGCATTTCAGCATATGCATTATTGAGCTCAATACTTTATTGTGCTTTTCCTCTTTTGAGGTAAAATTTACATACAATAAGACGAATAAAATTGTTATGTGTACACATGCCACTTTTAAAAAACTTAACTAGCAGCTTGTCCTAAAGCAATAACATCTGGAAGTCACAAAGCTGATGTGCCCGGCTGTATTTTTCTTCTAAAATAAATACACAAAAACCCATTCTAACCTGTCGCAGCATAAGTTGTCTGATGTAGCTTCCGTGGTGCACAGACTGCTCTGTGGGCTAGAGACCTACATGCAGGCTTTCCCTTAATCCTCCTAGCTACTGTGGCCCTTGGTAGGAAAATCCTCCCTGCTTTAGAGCTGGAAGAAAGGCATCCCAGGGAAGTCAAGAGACAAGGAACAAGGTCACGGTCACGGTCACATGGCGACCCTGTAGCAGAGCCAGGCTTCCAACCCAGGTCTCTCCACCTCCCCGTTCAGGAGGCATGCCCTTCCCAGTGCTTCCCTGTTGCGGTCTGCCCTCTTCTTGGACTGCTTCTTCACTTGGTCCCCTCATCTCATAGCCCTGATTCCTTATTTCTCGCCTCTCCAGAATGTGGATACGCTAACTCTGGGAGTGCAGCCCCCCGGGGACATTTACCTCCTGCCAGCACCCAGGTTCCTGAGCCCACACAAAGGGCACCTTCAGACATGGGCTCCCCTGCTCAGACGTACCTGCCATCCACCTCGCAGTCTACCGTGCAGCCCACGCTTCCAGCTGGGGAACAGGCCTTAGACAAAAAGCTCACCCACGCCAATGAAATCACTACATCCACTGAGGGCCAAGGTCTGGGGGCTGGGCCTGAGGCTGGGGAGAGACAGAAGCAGCTGGAAGAAAAACCAGGGCCTTCAGCGTGGACTTCAGCCATGGTGCCTGTGCTGTCCCTCCTGACCATCGTCTTCATTCTCACCACCGTCCTCCTGTATGTGCTCTGCAAGAGGATGAAGCATTCACTGCAGCAGTCTCCAGGTAAGCTGGCCCTCTGGGCCCCTCTCCTGGGGACTCGGAGCTTCCTTGGCAGGGATCCTGCCCCCACTAGCTCCTAGGTGGCTGGAAACCTGCCCCAGACAGACAGATAAGCAGGCTGTCTGCACCGCGTACCATAGGCCATGAGAGAAGAGCCAGCTAGAGACATTTACATAATAGGGAGGGAGGGAAGGAAGCCATCACAGGCCCAGGGACCTGGGCTTGGCCTTCAGAGCCAGGCGGGGCTTGGAGCAACATGGTACGATGGCAGCTAGAGCAGGCTAGGGGGAGATGAACCTGTGGAGGAAGGTGGGGGCCATTCATTTAATTCACCAATCTTTACTGAGCACCTACTCTGTACTAGGTTGTATGGTTGATGTTTTGGGTTCTAATTCCCCAGTTCAAGCCATTCTCCCAACTTTCCTTAATCTTAGAGCTGATATCTTAATTTCCTTATCTTTTCCAGATTTGCAGCTTCCTTACACACCCGTGGCATCAGACTCCAACGCCTGAGCTGAGAGTGGGAAACCCATAAGGGTAGACGCTGTGATTTATTCAGCCCCATATGCCTTTGATTAATACATCAGAATAATCTCTGGCACATAATTGGCACTCCATAGCTATCTGATGTTTAATATACAAACATCCAGCCACTGCCCTCTTGTAGACCCTTCCTGGGTTTTTTTCCTATGCTATAATGTGAAATCTACCTTTTACTGTAATACCCTAGACAAATTATGTGTTTAATTACAAAGATTATTTTTATGATTATTGACTCTTCTTTCTGCAGACACTGGCCTCATGTCCTTGCTCCCTTACCATGGTTCCTGGCTCCAGCCCCTCCGCTCAGGGTCCCACCGCCCCCTTGTCCCAGTCTGTCTTCACACACCGGCTGTTCCTCCCCTGACTCCCCACTGCAGGCCTGGGCCCTCCCCCTGCTTCCTCCCTCCTCAGCAGGCACCATGCAGTTTGCTTTTATTTCCTCAATCCCCGTATCACCCACATATGTTCCAGTGAGAGTCTGAGCTCCTTGCTTTCGTTGCTGTTGTTTTTATCATTAAAACCCCTAGTTCTTCTTTTGTCTCTTTCAATGAAGAAGAAAGTGTCTTCACTGGTCCAGTCTGCAGAAGCCTGTGGTAGGGACACAGGGTGTTTGAGGAAGTGCGCTGGGTGTCTGAATCTCTGTCTGAGCTTGTCAGCACGTTTGTGGCGTGCACCTGCGGGCGCACCCTGCTGGAAGAGCCAGGGCATCGTCGCGGGCCGGCTTGATCTTCAAGTGTCTCCGTCCCCACCTCCTGCCCCTTTGTCCTCAGATACTCTGCCCAGCAGGGCCGTTATGTGGCAGCCCCGACTTCCCACGCTACAGGTCTCCGGGTTTTGTCCCGGGTGCCGTGTGGTGGCCTTCCTCCAAGCTCTCCCTCTACCTGGTCGGCCTAGTTTTCCAGCAACTGCTCACAGGTTCGGGCCACATCGCTGAGCTTGAGGCGAGCGTAGTCCACTCGCTTCAGGGCCATCTGACAGTCCTTCCTCGAAGAGTAGCTGGAGCCCTCATGGGGCTGCCCCGTGGCCACCTGCAGGACATTCAGATGGATCAGTGACCCACCCCTTCCCTTACCCAGCTCCCCACCCCAGAGCGCATCAGGTCTCTTGTCTCGTTTCTTCCCTGAATGTGAAGCCGTTCGGGCACATGGGAGGTGGCTGGGTGACCCAAGGTAAGTCACTGAACTTGTCTACGTCATCTGTAAAACGTGGGTAAGCCTAACTACCTCCTAGAGTTGTAGGATTAGATAAAGCAGTGTCTGGTACGTTGTAAAAACTTAAGAGTGCTGTTGTAAAAGACTTGAGAACCCTCTCAACCCTGTCCCTTTTCTCGGGGCGTTGCCGCTTCGGGCCCCCGAGGTCAGGTCAAGGTTCTGAGTGCACAGTCTCGTGGCTTTGGCACTGATCACCAGTCCTTTCCCAGGACTTCCCCGTCCAGCCGCTCATGGGATGCGGGCCAGCAAACTCGGCAAGGCCGCCTTTAATATTTTCCCTCCAGAGAGGGAAGCCGACACTGGAAGGGAGGGATTCTGCAAAGGTGTCCCCGCCCGCTCCGAAGGCCAAAGCCCCGCCCCGAAAGATCCCGGCCGGCCAAGGCTAGGGCGGAGAGCGGGGTGGGGGCGCAGCACCTCCCACCGCACACACCTGGGTGAGGTAGCGGATCTGAGCCGACAGCTCCGCCTCCACGTGCTGCACCGAGGCCGTGAAGGCCGCCGCCTGCCGGTCCAGGAGCCGCTCGTTGGTTTTTTCCTTGGACAGTTCCAGGATCACAGTACCTGCGGGGGCGAAGAGAGGGCCGGGGCTGGCCGGAGAGGGCCGGGGCTGCCCTCCGCGGGCACCTGGGGTCCCTCCCCTCCCCGCCGCGAGCGCAGGTGCCGGCCGTTGTGTCCCGAACCTGCATTCTGGAGAATGGCGCCGATTTCCCGTTCGATATCCTCCAGGGCGCGCAGCCTCTCGTTCGCCAAGCTGTAGGTAGCCATCGCCGCCCTGGGGAGCCCCCCGAGGAGCCCCCGCTCCGGCCCCAACTCCACGGGGTTTTTCTCCGTCCGCGAAACGCGACGCTGGAGCCCGGAAGCGGCTGTCGGCTTGCGCCTGCGCAGGGCGCGCTCGGAGCTGCGACTACAATTCCCAGGATGCTCGGCGCCGCCTGGCCTGGTGAACTACAACTCCCAGGGTATCGAGCGCCTGCCCGGGTCTGCGCCGCCGCCGCCCCCTCGCGACCCCCTGTGGTAAGAGGCGGGAGTGAAGCGTTCGAGGTCGTTGAGCCCTGCGCGCCTTCGCGACGCTCCTGGGGGCTCGATTTTGATGTCTTCTACGAGAAGTGCCCGCGCGGCTGCTGGTGCTGGGTGAGGATGATGGGAGCCCTGGGGTGCTCCGCCTGCCCGCCCCGCTCCGCCGTCCGTCGGGGCCTGGAGATAGGCTGACTCGGTGAGTGTTACATTGTTCCTCCCGGGCGGGAGCCCCGCCGACCCCCCAGGCTTAGCAACGTGTTCCCCGGAGCTGGCTCCTTTCGGCCTTCCCCCCTTCCCCTTCCGGCCGCCGGTTACTCGGCCGGGTCTGGGGATGCGGCACGAATGGGATGGGCTCTCAGGTGACAGCGAGGTCGACGTTTGCTCCGAGGCGTGCGCAGGGTGCACCTGCGGGAGCCCCGAGAGAGGATTCTGGGGGGGCAGCGCTGCTGGAACCGCGTCTTGCGGGTTAACCGGGTGGACGAGAGGCTGCGGTGGAAAAGGGGAGCGGCGCAGGCAAGGGCGTGGGGCCGGGGAGGGGGTGCCTGGCGCCGCCCAAGTACCACGAGGGATTCAAGTTTGAGCCGAGCGAGTGCAGCGTGGCGGCGGTGAGGCTGGAGTGGGAGCCGGATCAGGAAAAGGCTTGCAAGCTGAGTAATTTGGACCTTGTTCTGAAAGCCCTTGAAGGATCTTCAAGAAGTGTGTTATGGCCAGGTTTTTGGAAAGGTCAATCTGGACAGCCCCTGGAAGATGGAGAATGAAGCTACTTGGCACAGGGTTAGCAAATGAATGGAGACTTTCAGTTCATCTTGAGAGACCTAGCATTTAACTTCACTCCTTTTGAAGATCCTAATCAAAGAACACCAAGGGGATTTTATTAAGGGGTCAGAGAGACAGAGAGAGAGAGAGAGAGAGGAATTAATAGCAAAACTTTAGATAGAAGCTGGAAGACAGAAGAGTAAGTGATGACTGATTTAGTAGTGAAGTGGTAATGAAGCCAGCAGTGGAGAAAGCTTAAAAGCAACTTGATTTCGGGCGCCTGGGTGGCTCAGTCCTTAGGCGTCTGCCTTCGGCTCAGGTCATGATCCCAGGGTCCTGGGATCGAGTCCCACATCGGGCTCCCAGCTCTGTGGGAAGCCTGCTTCTCCCTCTCCCGCTCCCCCTGCTTGTGTGCCCTCTCTCGCTGTGTCTCTCTCTGTCAAACAAATAAATAAAATCTTAAAAAAAAAAAGCAACTTGATTTTCTCTTAAATTAGTGCCATCATCGGGTGCCTGGGTGGCTCAGTTGGTTAAGCGACTGCCTTCAGCTCAGGTCATGATCCTGGAGTCCCAGGATCGAGTCCCGCATCGGGCTCCCTGCTCAGCAGGGAGTCTGCTTCTCCCTCTGACCCTCTTCCCTCTCGTGCTCTCTCTCTCTCTCTATCTCATTCTCTCTCTCAAATAAATAAATAAAATCTTTAAAAAAAAAATAAATTAGTGCCATCATGTACACTGGGGTGTAGGTGATAGTAAAATGAGGAGGATTATGTAAAGTAGTTAGACCCCCCTGCCCCCCCCAGATCTTCTCCTTTAATGCATACATCTCTGCAACCACTCAATCCCAACCCATCAGATTCCTGGAGGTTTCTTTGTTGAAGATGGAAAACAGAGGGTCTTTGGTGTGAAAGGCCCACCCAGGGCACAGTTGTATTGAAAACAGAGATTAGGGGTGCCTGGCTGGCTCAGTCGGAAGGGTAGTGAGTTTGAGCCCCACGTTGGGAAGTAGAGATTACTTGAATGGATACATAAATTAAAAAAAAAAAAACAAAAAACGAAAAGAAAATAAGGATTAAATGAAAGTTTATTTACTGAGTTGTTCCAATCTGGAATTTTATACTCCGGCTGTGCTAGGATGAAGGCTAAAAATGCAACGATTCAACAACATAGAACTTAATTTTTTTCCCCCGTAAAACAGCCCAGCGTGGGTAATTCAGCCGTACAGATCAGCTGGAGATCAAGACGAGCCGCTCAGCTCTGCCACCCTGTAGGGTCTTGTACTCCAACGTGTGGTCTGCAGGTCAGCAGCACTGACATGACCTAGAAGCTCGCTAGACCTGCAGAATCGCAGGCCCCGCACACATCTTCCGATTCAGTATCTGGGTTTGAAGTTCCTCAGGTGATCTGAATGCACAGTAACCTCTGAGGGACACTGCCCTGGGGCAGTGCCGTCTGTCCTGTAGAGACTGGCTGGCTGCCTGCCTGGGTCATAGCTGGCAGTGAGGAGGAGGAGGAAACGTGGGGGAGGCAGACCCCGGCTCAGAGGTCTGACTAGGAAGCAGCCCAGATAATTCCTACTCACATTCCGCTGAATAAACAGTCGTATGGTCTCACCCAACTCTGGGGTTCTGGGAAATCCAGTCCTTACCTAGGTGGCCAGCTTCTGTCCTCACAGCACGGAGGAAGAGATTTTAGGGGAGACGTGGACTCTCAGAACAGCCAAAACAAAGATGGAATAAAGACATTTTGATGTGTCCAGAGGTGGCAAATTTTTCTGCCGAGTTCCCTCAAAATGACAGTGATTCAGGGAAGACCACCTGGTGCTGGAAGAGAAAGGTCATCAGGACGACTCTGGATAACTTACGTGTAGACTTGAAAGCATAAATATTGAATATTGACCTAACCTCCACTGATACCATTCTCTTGGGAGTATGGGATGCCAGGAGGGAAAGTATTTGGCTGTGGGGGAGAGGGGCAGAAGGGAGCTCAGTCTTCACCTCGTATGGCAGGACGCCAGAGATGCTTAAGAAGAAAATCAGAAAGTAGCAAAGTGAGCAGGTTGTTTGGGAACATGGAGGTCAATACCAGAAGGAACATCTGAAGTAGGTGAAGGTAGCTGCCTCTGGGGAGAAGGGAGTTGGAGAGGGTTGGGGTATGGGCCTTGTGATTGTGTCCGACCCCTTACACCATGTGCATATATGACTTTGAAAATAACAATGCACTAAAAGCGAAGTGGTAGAGAGGAAACGAGTAGAGATTTACTTCATGTGTAAGAAACCTGGGTGTGGAGGAGTGTCTTCTCTTTGGTCTCCTTCCTTCCTCGAGTGGAAGAGACTTGCATGGGTTTATGCACCATGGAGGAAGAACCAGTGGAAAGAGGCAGAGGTAGAAGAGAGGCGGGTGGTGGGATGAATCGGGGTCTCGGAGGAGGTGGGAGGGGAGATATCTGAGCACAGGTGGAGGGATGAGCTTTGAACGGGAGAAGGCGGCTTGACCTTGGATGCATAGAGAATTGGGATCCATGTTGATGTTTGTGGGTAGGAGGTGGGAAGTTGAAATCATTCGTCCCTCGCAGCCTCATCTCTGTGAAAAACAGGAAGATTTGCAAGGTGGTGAGGGAGGTGGCCAGGAGGGTGGCGAGGGACAAAGGCTCATCAGGAATTGAGGGCCCAGCTGAGGTTAGAGACCATAGGGGCAACGGCCCCAAATGCATACCCAGTGCCCAGTGTTGACACCTAGGATGTGTTAAAAATTACTTGTTGAATGAACAAGTATGTCCAGTTGTGTGATTTTTCTGTGGTGGTGCTCGCTAACCCTGTCAGGCGGGGCGGGCAGGGTGGTGGTGGGGCGGAGCCCAGGCTGGGGTCTGAGAGCAGGTGTTTGAAAGGAGGGGCAGTTGAGCTAGAGGATGGGATTGCAGTGGGCAAGGTGGGCTCCAAGTTCCGTCTGGAAAGAAAGGAACAGACGGGCCAAGGGCCTGGCGAAAAAAAAAAAAAAAAAAAAAAAAAAAAACCACCAAGAAGCTGTTAAAAAGGTGATTATGATTGTGTACCTTAACATTTAAAAAGTGAATTATTAAAAATATCAGGAGCAAAATGCTTTGCAACTAGGGGTGTTGGCTGCACAGCATTGTGGATGTATTAAATGCCACTGAACAGTTTAAAGTGGTTAATTTTATGTTCTGTGAAGTTTTCCTCTGTGAAAAAACCAAAACAAAAAATTAAAAAACCCCAAAAATCGCCCCCAAAAATACGAACCTAGGAACAAATTCAGAAGACAATGACAGACTGGGAAAAATATTTGCAAAATATATGACAAAGGGCTCATTTTTTTAGTATATAAAGAGCCCTTAGAGTATGTTAAAAAAAAAAAAAGTACCCAAATAAGTCAGGTTGTATCCTTACCCATAATCAAACAAATGCAAATTAAAACTCAAATGATACCATATTTCACTTGCTTGATTGGCGGGATCCTAAAGATGCTCACAGTCTTTGACTCAGCAAGTCTGCTTTTAAGAATTTGTTCTACAGGGGCGCCTGGGTGGCTCAGTTGGTTAGGTGTCTGCCTTCGGCTCAGGTCATGATCTCAGGGTCCTGGGATCGAGCCCTATGGAGCACCATGTTGGGCTCCCTGCTCAGTGGGGAGTCGGCTTCTCCCTCTGCCCCTGCCCCTACTCACACTCATACTCTTTCTCTCTCAAATAAATAAAATCCTTAAAAAAAAAAAAAAAGAATTTGTCCTACAGATCTAGTTCCTGTATGCAAAAAAGACCTGTCTTCGGGGATAATGATCGTACCCGTGTTTGCATTAGCAAAAGAGCAGACCTCCTTCACGTCTCTTGGCAGGAGACTGGTAAAAATAAATGCCATCCAGGGAATGCAAAGTCATGCAGCTCCTTGAAAGAATAAGGAAGTTCAGTATGTGTCGATACAGAAAAGAATGCACCATTAAGGGGAAAAGCATGGTATAGAAGAGTGGTCACAGCATGCGAGTATCTATCCAAAATAAGGGGGAAATACACTCCTGCAGATATGACTGAGTCCCAGCAATATCTGTGGAAGAAGAATAACAGGATTGGTGTTAGTGGTCGCCTCTGGGAATGAGGGGCACGAGGGAGCCTTCTTTTCACTGCTGTATACGGTTTGGATTGTTTTTTTTTCTTTCCACCATGTGCATGTTTTACCTTCTTAAAAACATTAAAAACTTTATGAACGCTAAAAAAGAAAAAAAAAAGACATCGTTTTTCACATCGTGTGCTAATTCAGGATCCAGATGCGTGGATTCTTCCTGGGACCTGCTGAATCAGAATCCGGGAAGGTAGAGCCTGGGACAGTGTGTTTCTCATGCCCCCGCCTCGGTGGGGCGGGCGGGGGGGGGTTCTGATGCACCTGGAAACCTGCTGAGCTCCATGGGCTGAGAGCTCAGCCATCAAGGAGCAGGCTCGCGGGAATCAGAAGGATACCGGCAGTTCGTCCATGTGGCAAAGACCAGGTTGCGTGGGGTAGGGGCAAGCAAGGTCCCTCGCATTTTGGCAGCACTTAAATATGTGGGTAAACAGTGGTCTAATTAGATGTCGGGCGCCAGAGACTGCAGGCCCCCTTGGCCCCATCCGGAACTACTTTGCCTTTTGCTGTCTCTGCCCCGTTCCTGCCTTCACACTCGGTGCTGCCATCACCCAGAAGGTTCCAACTCGTTCCTCATCTGCCAGTTCTCTGCTCCAAGGTCCCTCCCTCCGGGGACATCTTCCCCAAACCCCAGCCTAGGTCAGCCCTCCCTGACGTGTGTTCTCCTCACCCCGGACTTCTCCTTTGGAGCACGGGTACCGTCATGAGGTCACTAGGGAACGATTTAACGGTGGCTTTGGTCACTGCGATGTCCCTCCACGACGCCCGGCAACATGATAGAGGGACTCCAGGGCGGGCTGCTCACGGAGGGAATGAATGAGCCTTACGAGACGCGGGAGATGAAATCTGGGTGACAGGAGTGGGAGTGCGGGGGTGGGGGGGCGCGGCACGAGCCGGGTCCGTGGCGGGTCGCTCCCACCCCGTAGCCCCGTGTCCGGGAGTGCCTGGTGAAGGTCCGAGAAGCTGCGGTGGGACCTTGCTTCTGGGACTTGCCTGCACAGGCGTGACTCCCTGTGGCCCCACGGAATGTTGCGTGGCTTCTGTCCCGGGAGGGCCGCTGCCGGGCTCCCAGCAAGCCCCAGGAACGGGTGGCCCGACCCCCGAGCGCCTGGCCACAGCAGGTCACCACCCAGTCGTGTGTCCGCGGCGAGAGGGAAGAGCCGGCCGGCCTACGGAGAAGTGAGTGGCTGTTTCCCCTGTAAAGGCATCAGCTGACGGTGGTTTTACCCAAACTGTACCCTTGAGCTTGGACTGAGCACATCAAGTTTCAGTGTTTACCTTGGAGCGCACGACAGCCCAGTGGTTTGGACATTGATTGACCACCTTTGGGCCCGGCGAGCTGGCTGGCCAGGTGCTCAGCCTCCAGAGGATGGTCCCGGATGGCCACCCGTCTGCCCCTTCAGCCCCGCACAGAAGACACAGACACTCCTGCCTATTAAAAGGTTTAATTTCTTCTTTATGCTCAGAAACAAAGAAGTGGCCTTGCCCCCCACCCCCCAAGAAGAGGGTCTCCTTCTCGAGAGACTTCCCTTGAAGCTGTTGGTGTGAGGCTGAACGTGGGGGTTCCCTCTCCCCAGTTTCCCTACTGTCTTTTCAGCAACCCCCTCACAAAATTTAGGTTTGAACACAGCTTGCCACCCTCGGGGGGGTTTGGGGAGAGGCACAGCTGGAGTCCAAAGAGTAATGCCCACATTCCACAAGAGATGGGTCCAGCGCGTGTCTGGGGGCGACTGGTGAGGGAGGGAGGGGAGGAGGGGGGCCGGGGGCTGCAGAGTGGAGAGGCAGGGGCCCCCTCCCCCAGCAGCGCCCACCCCCTCCCCCTAGCAGAACTGGTCCTCATAATCTTCGTCCTTCATCCCCTTCAGCCGAAGCCGGGCGAAGTCCTCGAACACGATGTCATCGTCCGTGGCGTAGCTTGACGGTGGAGAGCGGGGGTGAGGTGCGGGCTCCAGACCCTCATCCCGGCCCCCCCCCAACTCCCCTCCCAGACACAGGGGTGTCAAGAGCGGCATCGGGACTGGGCGCATCGGCGAGAAGGTGATGGGCAGCCTCGGGAGGAAGGCTACGCCGTCCGGCGCTTCAGCCCTCCCTTCCCCGGGGGCCGAGGGCAGATTCGGGGGCTGCAGGAGTCTCTGCCCACAGAGGTCAACAGTTGGAGGTGGGGGAGGAGTCTCTTACTTGGTATCAAATTCAATGAGGTTGGTGTCCACAGGGGCGTCTGTGTCAGGAGCAGCTGAAGCGAGGAGAGGGGGTAGGCGGGTGGGTGCTGGAAGCACCGCCATGTCTCCCCGGGCCTGGCCTCAGGCCGTCTCGCGGGGGGCTTGGGGCGGGTGCTGCGCTCACCTGTCTGGGGCCTGGGGAGGGTGATGTGGTCGTGGGGCTTGGGGTGCATAAGAACAAAAGGCAACTCCACAGAGACGTCCCTGCGGGGGGTGGGGGGGGCAGCATGAAGGGCCAACACCGCCGCACCAGGAGGAGACCCCTGTGCCCCCGCGTGCCCCCGCACACTCACCCGCCACGAGACACCACCAGCTTCACCTTGACCCTGTAGGACACCAGGATGCCCAGCACCTCCTTGTTGGCGCCCTCCTTCACGCTGCAACGAGGCGAGAGCTAGACCACGGCCCACCCCTGGGGCTCCCGTGAGGTTCTGGGGGGACCACATCCCGGGGCAGTGGTCTCCAGCAGCGTGGGCTGTGCTGTTCTCACGGCCAAGCACCCCGCGGCGCCGCTCTGCACGGACCCCGCCTGTGGCTTCTCCTCTCTCGCGGTAGAGGCGGTCGTCTTTGTGACCCGACAGCCCAGCACCGTCTTGCTCTCGGCCACCCTGATGGCACCTCGTGGCTTGTTCTGGCCGCGCCGGCCTCAGGGCCTGCTGTGTGGGCTCCGCGCGCCCCTCGGACCCAGGCACCAGTGGGGGCCCCGGCCCTGACTCCCTGAAGCTGTGGCCACCCCCCAGAGGCGCGACGGCCCCACACTTCCTCACGCGTCCTCGCGGAGACCGGGCCTGGGCCACCTCTGCGCCTGCAGGTCCCTCCGCCCGGAGCGCTCCTTGTGTGGCCGTGTCACCGACTTACTCTGGGTCCCTCCTCAGATGCCTCCCCCCGCCGGCCTCTTTAAAGTGCACACACACTGTCCGCCCCCGGTTCATCCCTCCCTCCTCTGCCTTGCTTCTTCTCCACGCTCGTCACTCGGCGTGCCGTGCCTTTCAGTGTTGGATCTGTCTGTCCTCCCTCTCTAGAATCTCTGGTCCGTTCAGGGCCCGATAGCGCCCTGGCGCCTAGGACAGAGCCTGACACGCAGCTGGCCCGAAGGAGCGTGTGAGCCCCGGGCTGCAGGACCCCCCACGCCCCCATCCAGCCCGCGCTCACATGGTGCTGGAAGCCAGGTTGGTGTCCTCGTGCTTGAGCTTCCCGTCCAGGGCAAGACCTCGCTTCTCCCGGTTGTCGCTGAGCAGCGGGGTGATGGTGTATACCTTGCAGAACGTGGAGCTGGGGGACACCTGGTCACTGGGGGGTGGGGACAGGAGAACGAGACTCTGGGGGGTGCGGGCCAGTGAGGAGGTCGCTCCCACCCCCAGCGGCTTCTCCCCCACCGCTAGCCTGGCTCCGTTTGGGTCCCCAGGTAACAAGCCGCTCAAGAAAACGAGCAGCTCAGAGCCACCTGCCTGTGCAGGGGATGCCCTTGGAGGTGGGGATGGTTCAGGACGTTTCCATCCCCGCCTCACATTCTCCCAGGGCTGCTTCTCTGCCCTAAGGTGGGGACCCGGGCTGTTGTGTTACTCACTCTTGTTCAAGCTGAGCCACAGGACACTTGTACTGGGCAGTGCTGAAGAGGCAGATGTCCGCATACTGTCTCACTGTGGGGTGCGGTGGGGTGGGGTCAAGCAGCCGTGCTGGGAGCGCAGGCTGCCCCACCCCCCCGGGGGGTTTTGTCACATTCTGGGGTGGCGTCCCGCACTGGGGGGTGTCCCTGGGCTGAGATCACACCAGGAGCCACGAGGGCAGCAAGTCCCGCCCCCAAGACCCCCTTCTGTCCCCCACCTCCTACCAGAGACTTTGATCTTCTTGATGGTCTTGGTGGAGTTGTTGGTGACATGGACGTTGACATTGAGGGGCTCCCCGTGATAGTAGAGCTTTCGAGGGGAGGGGGTCAAGTTAACGCGATCTGTTTGCACTGGTCCCATTATTAGTGTCCCCCTCCCCCGACGCAGACCGCGGCTAGGTCTTCCTCTAAACCCAAGCCCACGCCCACGCCCAGCTGAGGCGGCCTTCTTTAAAAACGCTGTCCTGGCAGGTGGCTTCAGCCCTCCCCCCAGGGTCCCTCCGCACGGGGACACCTGTGTCACCCTCCTGCACCCCACCTCCTTGTCCAGGGAAGCCTCAAGGTGCAAGGACCGGTCGGACATGAGGAAGTGGCGGGTGGTTTCTGCTGAAGGCTGGGGGCCGGGTTTCTCTGGGGCAAATTGCACCTTTCGGATCACCAGACGCACAGAGTTCCTGGGGGTGGGGAGGAGGGGTGGGAGGGGCCGGTCCTCAGACACCCGGACCCCCACCACCGCCTTCCCTGGGCCTGGGGCTCCAGGGAGTGGGGGGGGGCTAGTCACAGCACAGGGGAGCTTGCTTCCCTCACCTTTTGTGGCTTTTCTCTTCTAGTGATTTGGCACAGAAGGCTCGAATCTCAAAGTCTACTCCACAGGCCTCAGGAGGAGAAAAGGTCACATCTTACACAAGGCCCCTGACACCACCACGCCCTTCCTTCCCTCTCCCCTTTTTTTTCGTCAGGGACTGTTGCCTCATTGCGGTCTGCTCTGAGCAGCGTAGGGCCTGGGGCTTCATCCTCTGCCTCCCAAAGACCTAGTACCTGGCAGAGCACTGGTCCTGTCTGCAAGGTGAGCCCCTACACTCACCCGTGAGTGCCCAGAGTCACCCGTGAACAGATAAACCCTATTTCCACTGGGGGCATGTCCCATCTGGCTTCTCCCTGACAGCCCCCCTCTCTCAGGGTGTCCCGGGCGCCTGCTGGAGCCCATTCTGTCCCCTGAGCCCTTGGACCCATTCCCGTTGTACCTTCCCCGTGTCCTCAGGGCCTGGCTGCAGGGTGACGGAACAGGGCAGATTCTGGGGGATCTGTGGGGAGGCAAGCAGAGGCTTTAGTTCTTCCAGAGAGGCCCCATATCTTCCTCCCAATTCCCACCAAGAGGCTGGAGAAGTCCCGGGGGCAAGAGAGGAAGAAGGAAGGGGCCCCAGGGAGGAGGCAGAGACAAGGGTGACCCCGCAGGTGGGGGGGTCTAGGGCTTCCTCCTCACTGTTGCTTCCAGATCTGCCCAGAACAGGTGCCTCAGCGCTCCTCCCCCAGCTCAGTCCCAGACCCCTTGCCCCGCAGAGGGTGAGGGGCGTCCTCACTGTGAAGAAGAAGGGGTGGGCATGCCGGCCCAGCTTCCTCAACAGCCGGTCCTGCAGGCGGGTGGGGGGCCGCGGTGGGTTGGGTACGGGGGGGAAGGCCTGGTAGTTGGCGATGAACAGGTCTTTGCGGAAGGACAAGCCCAGCACGTCCAGGTCCTCACGGCCATAGCGGAAGGCGCAGGTGAGGGTCACAAACACTGCGCGGGAGGGCAAGGTGGGGCAGTCAGGAGCCCCTCCGGCCCCAGCCCCCCAGTCCCCAGGAGCATCCAACCTGCCTGAACCCGACTTCCCGCTCCCATCTCGGCCCTCTTGTCTCTCTGGGGTCCATGTCAGTGCCAGCCCGCCCCACTGGGCCACCCTGACCTCCCCTGGGCACCCCCCGCACTCAGGCCAGTACCTTTGCGGTCCTTCAAGTAGTCAGGGTCCACGAGCACCACACCATCTGGGAAAGGGACACAGGAGCTCACGTCCTGTCAGGGCCTTGCCTCCATCCCTGGGCCCAGGAACCTCTCCCCATCTTGGGGGCCCCAGCGGTATTTTCTGGGCATACTTACCTACGGGGTCCACTTTGTCCAGGTGGTCTACAAAGTCCCGCTTGCCCAAGTACACGGTGAGCTGAGGATACGGAAGGGGCACATGGAAGATGGGGCAGGCGGGTGCGGGGCATCAGAGCCCTTCAGAGTGACCGTCCCGCCCCTGGTCTTTCCCAGGCTGGGGTAGCCCCGGGGTTCCTCCCAGCAGGGTCAGAAGGGGAGCGTGGTGGGGTTTCCCAGATTACCCACCCTTGAAGCTTTTCGCACCTCTGCCCACAAGTCAGGCAAGTGTGTGTGTGAGTGTCTGTGAGGTGCGGTGGGGTGGTGGTGGTGGTGATGGGGAGTGGGCTTGGGGAAGACTCGCGCCCCCCCACCCCCAGCCAGTTAGAGAACAGGGTGTGGTCTCACTGGCTCCCCTCAAGGGGCTCTGGGACACACAGGCCATATCCTGGGGGCTGCTGACTGTTCCCAGCCCAGGAACCCTGGGCTGGCTCCCAAGAGAGGTATAGCCGAGGGCTTCTGGCTCCTCCCCCTTCGTCTTGCCTAGGGACCTGGACCTGTCCCCACCCAGCCCTCGTGTCTGGCTCAGGTTGAGCGGCCTTTGCGGCAAGGGGCTTCAGGAGGGAAGGAAGTCGGCTCTTAGCTGTCACAGGAAGTGGGGAGCTAGGGGTTGGGGATCGGCTAGGGGCAGGCTGGGCCTTGCAGGGGCACAGAGAGGGCTGGGAGGAGAAGCAGCATGGGAGACTCACCTTGCAGTTAGGGCTCGACTTCTTGAAGACCCTAACGAGACAGAAAGGGAAACCCCACTCCCTCAGACCCGGCGGCAGGGACCCCCCACACCAGCCCGAGAAACAGAGCTCACCCGGGACTCTGCCTGCAGGCTCTGGGGCTTTGCCAACTCTACCCCTCCCATTTCTTTCCAGAAGGAGGGCAACCACAGGTCCTTGATATTCCCAACGCAGCGGTGGTGCCCCCCACCACCTTCCACCCTCACTAGGTCCCCTCCTCCTGTGGCAATGGCCCCTGGTTGCCACAGGAAACACCCAGGCTCTTTCCAGAGCACTTGCCCTAGGGGGGGTCCGAATGGGCAGGTTGTAGGAGCCTCTGTCTAAGACGGAACCCTCTCTCCATCGTCTCTCATCTCCAGCTCCAAAGACAGCTGGAGTACCCAGAAGGGCAATGGCCCTGGCTTTGGCCCCTAAAATGGTTTCTACTTAGAGGCACTACTTAAGCGTGACCTGACTCCATGAACCTCCAAATGTCCCCATCCCTGGTCTCAGCAGCCTCAAAGCCCATTTGTCTTTGAAGGCCAAGCTCAGATATCACCACCTTTAGAAAGCAGATCCAGCCCGGACCCCGGTTACTCTTTTTTTGGGGGGGCGTTCCTGTCACACTAGCTTATGTTCTACTGGTGCTGTGATGGCATGCACAGGCTGTGAGCTGTATTCAGTTAGGCTCCCCCAGCACAATGCCAGCCCTACGAGAGAGACGATCATGCTGGCTGACATTTGTCGGGAGAATGCTCCACGCTCAGCACTGTTTCAAGGGCTTCGTGTGTGTTATCTCATTTAATACTCTTAGCGACCCAGTATTGCTAATTTACAGGTGAGGGAACCGAGGCACGGGGGGCTGAAGGATTTAGCCTAAGGCCCCAGAGGGTGTAACTGGTGGGACTCAGATGAACAGAGGCAGTCTGGCTCTGAGCCCAGGCTCTACATCACTAAACCGTTAGACTCTCCTGTCTCTGCAATTGGCATGAAATTTGTTGAATTGCAGGGGATTCGCTCCCCTGAGCTGAGACCATCTAAGCCTGGACTCTACCCACTGCTGAGAGCATTAAGTAGGTGTCTGGTGATTCCTATGCTCTGGTCGCTTGCAGGTCTGACCTTCCTCATCCCAATCCACTCTGCCTCAGCAGCGATCCCTGGGAAAAGTCCTCGGCTAGTAGAAACTGAAGTCCTGCCGACTGACCCATCCTTCCTCCAGCACCCCCCGCCCCCCAGTTTTGCTCTAACAACTTCACTTACCACTTCTTCCTAGAAGGTCAGACTGTCCAAAGGCCATGAGACAAAGGGTATGGTGGCCCCCGGGTATCCCCATCCAATAAAGGAGAGCAGACACTGGTATGGTGGTAGCTAGAATAAGCACCCAACCTGGGGGCGGACAGCTATGGCATCATCCAGCTTCCCCTCCCCTTTGCTTCTAGTTTTCCTCTTTGTCCCAGGATTTCCTCCTATTAGGGAGAAAGCCACCAGACTGTGGTTTTGGGGTAATGGCCCTGGAGCACCTGCAGGGCCACCTGCCCTTGGGAGGCGACGCTAGGGAGCAAGGTACGCTTGCTTGTACGCTGAGGCTAGCCAAGGAGGCAGAGTGTGGGGGTGCCCGGAGGTGCCCAGTGAGGGGGCCAGCGACAGCACATGTTCTCTCCATTTCCTGTGGCCCAGAATTAGATGGGGGTGGCGGGAATTGTGCCAAGTCAGCAGCCCCCCTCTGGTCCATCCATCCTCCTCCCTGAACCACAGAACGGAAACTGGGGGCCTCCCTATAGTCAGCGACTTCCCCTTTCTCTGGGGGTGTTTAAGCCCTAATCCAGGACACCAGTCCTCCCTCTGATCATCTCTCTGATATGACTCGACTTGGTGCTCAGAAGCCTGGGTTCTCCTCCTCTGTGGGTGGGGAGCGGTGGGGCTGAAATGATAATGTTTTGCAGCACAAGTGGTGTCTCGGGACCAGGGCCCCATTCCTGATCCCTTCTGGATAGAGGCATACAGCCCCAATCTTTTCCTCTTGCTCCCCAGGGACTCGGGCATTCACCCACTATCCCCTTGGGGGTGTTGGCCCACAACAGGAAGTGGATTTTGCTAGAGACCAAAAAAGAGAACTCGGGGTATCAGTGGAAGGAAAGAGCCTCGACTGCACAGAAAACATCCGGGGAGTGGATGGCGTGCCCAGGGCAGATACTGCTTCCCCTCACCTCCGGGAAGAGGGGTAATGCCCAGAAGCGGGGAGGGTCGTCACGCACTCTGCTCCCCCAAGACGAGGCTGTTGCTCCTAGCAACCTGGGGGAAGGCAGAAGTTTGGAAGCAGAGCCACCTGGCCCTTGGGACAGCCCGACTGCCTGTGGGGTATTGGACAGGAGGCTCTCCAGCAGCTCGGCACGAGTCTGGGGCGGGGGGGGGGGGGGGAGAATCCCCTCCCGGCATCCAGCCTTCCCATACCCGACCCCTCGGGGCCGGCCACCTGCGCCTCCTTCCTCCGCCCCTGCATCGCAGCCTGCACCGGAGAACCAGTCGTCCGGCCCCCACATCCCTGCGAGAGCCCAGACGCCGGTTTCCTGATCCCCTTCAGCCCTCGCTCTCTGCAAGGGCCCTGGCATGCGTCCCCCTCATTATCCTCGAGGACCTAGGCGTGCGGCCCCAGATGGCTGGCCCCTAGGGACCCAGGCGTCCGGCCCCCGGGTCCTCTCCCCGGTGTCCTTGTCCCGGGACCGTCCCGGCACCCGCCCAGAGCCGCCGCCCACGTCCCGCCGCGTGGCCCCACCTCCCTTACCTGGTCCCCGGTTTCTCCCCCATGGTGCGCGCGCCCGCCGCCCGCCGCCCGCCCGGTTCGCGGCTCGCTCGCAGCCTCCCAGCCTGCTGCCAGGTCCCTGCTCCTCCCCGCGCCACTGCGCACGCGCGCCCTCCGCTCTTTCTCCTCTCCCCCGCCCCTCCGGCCCCCCTGCGATCCTAGGGAACCGGGGCCAGATGCGTCAGCCCGGACCGCGCGCGCCGCGGCGCCGCCCGCCCTCTGGGCGCAGACACGCGCGGTGATTGGCTCCGCCCCCGCGCCCGCCCCACCGCGGCCCCGCCCCGCCGCTCCCGAGGGGTCCCTCCGGCGCGCGCAGTCCCCTGTCCCCGCTCTGCCCGCCCCTCTCTCCGCCCCTCCGCACCCCCGTAGGAACCGATTGGGCCCCCCGGAACGAAGGCGCCCGCCCGCCGGGAGGTGAGAGCCCCGTGATTGGCTCCCCGCGCCCAGGACGCCGCGGGGGTCCCCTCCCCTTTGTTTGCTGTCTCAGTGGCGGCGGAGGCGAGGGAGGCGGTGGGGGCGGAGGAAGGAGCTCCGGCACAGTCTGGGAAGAAGGGTGAGGGGATGCACACGTGGGTGAGCGGCTCCAGTTGCGTGATGCTGTGCTTCAGGGCGCGCCGCTCACCCCAGTACTCGCAGCCTTCTTTGGGCCGCCCTCCCGCCTCTTTATTGTGGTGTGTCAGCTCCCTCTGGTGTCTTTCATCTTCCACAGGGTTTCTGTGCCTGGTTTCTCGGACTACCCATCCCTTCCATCTACTCTCATCACAGCCAGCATCCATCCGTGTATCCATCCAAGCATCCATGCCTTCATCCATGCATCCGTCCGTCCATCCATGCACCCAACCATCCATCCATCCATGCATGCATTCATGCATGCATCCATCCACGCACGCATCCATGCATCCATCCACGCACGCAT